AGCCGAACTGCTGAACTGCAGTCAGCTGAAGTAGCCTGCAGTGCTGCATTTAACCACTGCGCCACCTTGGCTCTTGTAGTAATCCATCTTACAGAAAAATGTAAAAATCTGAATTATTCCTTACACTATGTAGTATAATAGTGGTGTTCTGTCATACAGCCTACTTGGGCTATTCAATAATTCTGGTTATTTTTAAGAAGAAATAGAAATAAACTCTTTGCAAGCTGTTCTGTTTATTCTTAAGGAACAATAGAATACAAATGAATTATTAAGTAATAAATGTTCAGAACCACTTTGATGTAGTGATTAATAAACCAGGTTAGAAACTGGGGGAGTGTGAGTTCTACTTCTGCCCTTGGTCCCAAAAGCAGCTGGGTAATCTTTGGCCAGTGACAGACCCAGGAAGTTATCAACTGCAAACACTTCTGAAAAACTTTGTCAAGAACATTGCAGGGATTAGTCCTGACCATTGCCAGGAGCCAACAGTGACAGGAAGAAACAAAATAAATAAATTTTAAAGATCCATATATGTCTACCTGGTATCAAATCCACGAACTACAGCTCCCATTGATTTAGCTGCTCCTGCAGATGCTAATCCAGCAACTCCACCTCCAATGATCAGAACCTACATCCAAGCAAAGAATTATAATAACTTTTACCAATCTAAACTGTAAACACTAAATGACCGACATGAATCAAGATAAATTGAAGATACAGGACGGTTTTAAGTAGCACCCAACAGTAGCTGTTTGTCTAAGAACATAAAGCTTCTTGAAAAGGAAAATATTAACCAATCAATGGAATTAGCAATCACTGCAAGTACTGTTGAATTCTCCCATAGTGGAATGTCTGATTTCCAGATTCCATACAAGAGCAGTAAATAGCAGTGGTTTAAAAATCTAATTTTGTTCAGTCACATGCAGAAACAGCCAAAACAATTTCCAGACTGCACTTGTCAAGTGCAAGGAATCAGGATCACATGTTAACTTCCAGTGAAGTAGATTTTATTGCTCACACCTAAATACCAGAATCTAGTCAACTAATTCTCAGCGCCAATGGAATTGGAGCATTTGTGGACACGTAACAATTCTACACTGAGTTGTCTCTTAACTCCATCTCCAGGTTCTGTTTCTTCCCCTACACAACTTTGCTTGAAAGACAAACAGCATGACTATGTCAGTGCCATTATAAACACAGCATTCCTGGGTTACACAATAAGAAATGCAAGCATACTCATAGGAACCACGATGTTTTCAAAACTACAAACATGTATTTAGAAAAGAATTTCATGAAGGAAAACCTTTTTAAAAGCCCAGTGCAGTTTGATTGCACTTAGCAATTGTGGAACACTAAGCAATAATTAGGAGAAAAAAAGAAAACAGAAGGAAAATTTGCTTTAATTCTATAGAACATCACATCATGCTATGTTTCATTGTAGCTCTGTTTGCATAATTTATCCTCCTGCTTGACACAGAGAGAAAACATCACTTTGATTGGGCTTAGCTTTAGACTAATGAGATTTTGCCAGACTTTGCTCACAAATCTCAAGTTTATTTATCAACACTATAAAGAATGAAAGCTTGCCTTCAAAAGATTCTTTCAGATACTGAGTCATGCTTTCAATACATGTTTTGCAAGGAACTGTTTGTATAACCTGGAGAAGAATTTTCAGCATTCTTGGCAAGAATTCTGTTATCATTAACAGACATCAGTTAATTTCTAAGTGCCAGGGTACTAGTTGCTCTGTTAGCTGGGAAGAACGGAATTTACTCTTCCTCCTTCAGAAGAATTTGGTGCTACTATCTGAACTTTTATAGTAATACTGAAAACGCTGCAACATATGAGAAAATCATTTAATATTTTTAAAAAGTGTGGTGTGGAATGGATGTAATAGTTTTCCACTTTGTAAGAGGTAATGTAAGAAATCCACCAAACTGTATTAGCAGATTATATTTTGTATTGTAGTAATAGAACACAAATGTTGCAAAAGTTTGCATGACTCTATACAGGACTGTAATGAAACATATTATTTTATAAAGTTATTTCAGTGATGATGCTAATGACTGGAATAATCATGTTATTTAGCCTGAAGTCAAGATTAAAATTACAGGATTACCCTCTCCGTAATAGCAGTTCATCAGAATAAAGTTGTTAACACGTAGAACTGACAGACATTTTACTGTTTGCCAGCAACAGTAAGCCAGATTTTATATTAATTTTATAATCTGCGTATCTTAAGCTTTAGTTTGAGAGACATTAATTTGTAAATTACTCAGTATTCGTTACAATTTAACAAATACTGCCAACATCAAAATAAATTACATTTGATTTACTAGGGAAAGGCTAGAAAGAGTCTCTGGAGAAGAAAACTCACTAGAAGTGATTGTAATCAGCACATGAAGGCACAAAGAGCATTGCTAACCTGCTTATGATTGATTCATCACACCTTTTTCCCATACATACCTTAGCTGGAGGAACTTTGCCAGCTGCCGTGATCTGACCAGTGAAAAAACGACCAAAATTATTAGCTGCGAGTATAACTGCCTTGTAACTGTTAAAAGAAAGAAAACCAGTCATCAGTATAATTGCATTTACATTTTTCCATAGATACAGTATGGTTTCTGTGTGTGGCTTCAGAGAGTAGCGTTTGCTGATCCACCCATCTATCTTCTGTTCCCATTCACGTAACCAACATAGCATAAAGCATAGTTCAAATGAATGTGATAACTGAAAGTAACAATGAGTCACAACTGGTCATCAGAAAGCTGGACACAATACAAATCATGGAATGAGAGAATCATGCTAAAGCACAGCTACTAACTGTGAACAATAAGTTGTCATCGGCACTATTGTATCAATCTGTTTGCCATCAATTTTGTATGCTTCAGTTGCTCCCAGTATCAAAACACGAGTACTGCTTCGGCCAGCCTGACAAAGCAATTCCCATACAAGTCCATGGAAACACACCATCAGCTACAGAAGTTCACAGCAAAACTTCAAGATAACTACTATTTTGAGCTCAGCCTCAGATAGTGGCTTTGAGGAAATGCTGAGAAGCCACCTTGAACTCCTGGAGGACAAGATGGATGTTAATCTAACATAAACCGATTTGTTTATAGTTACTATACGGTTTTTATTTTTCTGCTTCTCTTGTAGCATGTCTCCTTCTTCTGTTTCAGATTTCCTGATCACAGAGAATTCCTTCTTCAATTAATTAATATGAGCATCTTCTGAGATGGGACATTATATAAATTTGATTAATGAATAATAAATGTTAGGTTCAAATTTTTGTTCTTTCCTTTAACTAAAATAGCAATAGCACTTAAACTTATATACCGCTTTACAGCCCTCTCTAAGTAGTTTACAGAGTCAGCATATTGCCCCCAACAATTTGTGTCCTCATTTTACCCACCTCAGAAGGATGGAAGGCTGAGTCAACCTTGAGCCTGGTGAGATTTGAACTGCCAAACTGCAGGCAGCCAGCAGTCAGCAGAAGTAGCCTGCAGTACTGCATTCTAACCACTGCGCCACCATAACTCATACAGGTAGTCCTTCACTTACAACCATTATATGATAACTATTCAACTTTTCAGCACTGAAAAGCACTGATTTATGACCATTTATCACATTTATCACTGTTATAGCATTCCCAGGGTCAGGTGATCAAAATTCAGATGCTTGGCAACTGGATGTAATCATGACAATTTCAATGTCCTGGGATCATAGGATCACTTTTTTGTGATCTTCCGACAAGCAGAGTCAATGGAGGACCCGGACTCACTTAACAACTGCAATGATTCACTTAATCACTTAACTGTGGCAAGAAGGGTCATAAAATGGGGCCAAACTTTCTTAACTGTCTTGCTTAGCAACATAAATTTTGGGCTCAACCATGGTCATACATTGAGGATTATCTGTAGGCACTGCATTCTGAGAACTTGTTAGAAACTGGATTTTTTTTTGTTCTCTGTCTGGACCAGCTTAAGGGCAATGAATTTGTTCTGCTCACTAAAGAGGAAAGCAAACATTGGTCTGAAATATGACTTCTACTCCATATCAAATTCATTTTTTTAGAATTCTGCAAATGAGTAAAAACAGTATGTGGTATCATACCCAGCAATGTTGGCCATAGAGCTGAGAGCATCATATCCCTGAGCAATGGTCACACGAGGAACCTGATCCATAGCCAAGACAGTGGTATTTTTTTCTGCTAGTTTGTTCAGCAGATCTGGGTTTTGAGCTGGATAGATAAAACTGATCAGAGTACCATGTGGTTTAAAAAGCTCAATCTCATGGATGCCAAGTACAGAATTAAACATTGGAGCCCTCACCTAGAGAGGAGTAGAAAAAGAGTAAATCACAAAAATTCATAAGGCAAGAGTGGAAATGAAGCAAAACAAAACAATATTCTAATCATATTAATTTTTAAAAGCATGTCATGCTTTTGCTTTATTTGGTGTGTTTATTTTGTGAACTTTAAGTAGAATAGCTTCACAAACAAGAAAAATTAGTAAATGAAATGCCATTTAATAATTTTGTACTTAAAAGTTACATTATTAGAGTTTATTAACATTTGCAATGTATAAATTATTCAAAATAGCAATTGGCAAATGCCTCAATTTCTTGTCTAAAAAAGAAGCAACACAAGAAGTGGCATTCGATAATTGTACTGAGAGGGAGGAGGAGCCTAATTTGGTTACCTAGAAATATTTTTCCAATGCAAAAAGGTATTGAAAAAGAAGAATCCAGAATCTATACCCTTGCTAATGGTGTGGAAGATTTAATTTATTGTCTTTACAATAGGAAATTCCTTTAGTTAATGGTACATAACATTTTAGTGAATAATTCATGATTCGTACTGAACTCTCCCCTTAGAGCTATAACTCTCACACAAAATATTTCAGAAATGACCTTGTATTGTTTTGGAGGACATGAATGACTTACATACTTTTTAAGTTGGGGCATCCTAGCTGCATAATTCGTACACTTCTCCCAATCTTGAATAACATCATAAGCCTCACACACACACAGCCAAAAAAATCACACTAACACACACTGTTGTTTTATAAAAGCAACTTGCAAACTGGATCCTCAACTCACCAACAAGCAAATTACAAATTGCTCCATTACTACTAGGATAGGCTCAAATTATCCTTTGGGTAATTACCCCTACTTTAAGAAGAATACTGTTCAGTATTTCTCAAGCAGGGTTAAACTGTTTTGAGTGAAAATAGACTATTAGGGAAGAATCAAGTTTACAAAAGCTACCTAGTTAGATAATTTATTATTGTATTTGATGTTATTTAGTGTTTCTCAACTTAAGCAAATTTAAGATGGGTACACTTCAACTCCCAGAATTTTCCAGCCACCCATGCTGGCTAGGGAATTCTATGTGTTCATATCCATCTATCTTACAAGTTGCTTGAGAAACATAGACTAGATATATCAAATAAAATAATTTTATTAGATAAAATAGCTTTCACCAACTTGACTCCTCGTTCTGAAGCATTTATTTTCACTCAAAACCAGCATTTCTGCTGTCAATGTAGACAGAAGGGTGGGAAAGGACAAACGATTATCATTAAAGGTTCAATTTGTGGAAGTAAAATGTTGGTACAATGTTGCCCTTGAAAAGTAACAGCAAAATGGACTTTGCTCAGTCAACAGTTTGCCTGATAAACTGCATCTGCTCTACAGCAACTGAAGTTTGCTCTCTGCAAGACAAAACTTTATCAGATGTGCTTTGTCCTAGTTCCAAAGAAACCTGTGTTAAAATTTATAATGCTGTGTGTGTTTTTAAAATGCATTCCCTGTGAAAGATTCCAAATAATGAAGCTAGCTAGTAAAAGTGATTGAATTTGCTAACTCAGACACTATGATTCATATTCAAAGTACCACCATAGATCAAATATATACTGTGTACTATGCAAATAGTATTTTAAGCTGATGTTTGAAGAATTAGGATAGGCCCACAATTCCTGATAGCTAGCAGCATAGTAAGTCCTTCATGAAGATCCACAGCAATTATGTACTGGTAGAAATTCTCTTATACAGAAAGCCAATAAGGTGTTGTGGTTAAGGTGCTGACCTAGAAACCAGGAGATTCTGAGTTCTAGTCCTACCTTAAGTGTGAAAGCTGACTGTGGCCCAATCCCTCTTTCTCCACCCAATCTACCTCACTGGGTTATTATGAGGAAAATAAGAAGCAAGAGCATTAGGTATGTTTGCCACCTTGAATGGTATATGGTATGTGAAAATTTCTCAAAATAAAACTTTTGAATTCAACATGCCTGCTTCCTGAGTTCAAAATGGCTTTGGACGCCTGAAACAGTTGCTTCACATTTGAAATGACTGTTTCCACCACTTGGGAGGTGCTTTGAGCTTGAAATGCTTCCAAAATGATCAGAACGATTCATTTCAAATGCAAACCATTTGCTTTAACCTTAATTTTGTTTAAACAATTTGAATTCAAACTGTTTTCCATAATGCATATACAGGTAGTCCTCACTTAACAACCACAACTAGGTCACATCGTTAAGTGAAACATCATGGGATCATGATCTGTGATTTTACTGTTTGCTTCTCCACTAACTTTGCACATTGGAAGCCAACTGTGAATGGCAATGGCAATGCCTTGACTATGGGAACATTAAAATGGTTGTAAGTGTGAGGACCAATTATACCTTTACCTTTTCAGTGCCATCATAACTCTGAATGTTCAATAAAGTGAGGGTCACCTAAACTGATGACAAAGTGGCTGTGGCTTCCTTTAATACCCTGTTTCCCCAAAAATAAGACCTCCCCAAATAATAAGCCCAATCGGCTTTTGACCGCATGCGCTAAAATAAGCCCTCCCCTAAAAAATTTGAACGCATGTGGCAGCCGGTCCCCACCATTTCCTGGGGGAATGGGGAAACATGTCCCACGCGCCCCACATGCACCTGCCATCCATGCGAAACGGCCTCACAGAGGCTGTTCCTGCAAACCCTAACCACCACGCCCCTTCTCTTCTTGGCGGCCACAAAGAGCTGTAGGGCCCACGACGCTAGGGATGGCAAGAGTGTGCCAGAAATAGAGACAGAAGTTCAGCTCTCTCTGGGTCAGCTGATCCACGGGCCACGGGCTGAGGTTCCTGCACCTTAAAAATAATAAGACCTCCCCAAAAATAAAGCCAAGAGCTTATTTCAGGGATCAAATTTCAGGGAAACACAGTATTCTTTATCCCAGGTCTACTACATATGTAGGCTCTCTGAGTTCAACTGAATTTTCTTGAAATTCCTCTTTCACATGTCTGGTTTTTACATTAAACATCTGTAGACTTCTATCTTCTTACCTTTAGGAAGCTGATGCTGCTTTGTCTCCTACCAGTGCCTGTGCGTTCCTACCAATTCCAAAAATGCAGTCGAAATATCTACGAAACAAATCTGTCCCACCTAATCCTTCATTCATAGAGATTTATCCCATTTCCTTAAATGAGTCTCTTATAGATAAGCAATACCTGACCATCATGATTTTAAATTATGCTAAGATTGTGTTTCTGGGATCCCTGCAACTCTTTTACATTAAGACAGACTTCATCCATACATTTCACCTGTTTGAATTTGAAACACTTTGTGCATCCTTATTATTTAGTCTTCAAATTTTATTTATTTATTTCAGAAAACTTACACGACTGCCTAACTCATTTTCAGTGACTCCAGGCTGCTTACAAGGATTAAACAAAAACTAATAATAATAAAAGAGCAATAACCCCCAACACATCAGGAACAACAAAGTGGAAAAACACTTTATTTTTTTAGAAAAACTGATCTCAGAGGAGTAATAGTAAACAGATAATTATTACCTTGAGGACTATGTCAGAGGCCAATACTTCCTTGGTGCCCTGGATCTGTGCTCCGGCCTCTCTATAATGGTCATCAGAGAACTTAGCAGCTTCTCCTGCACTTGACTCCACAATAACATTAAAACCCTGCTTAACCAGTGCTTGAACTCCAGCTGGTGACAAGGCAATCCTTTTCTCATTTTGAAAGATCTCCTTTGGAACACCTATAGTCAATTCCTTATATGGAATACCTATAAAGGCAGAAATACAAACAATGTCAGAACTAACAGTTAAAAGCCTGAACATATATCATAATATCCTATGCAAAGTATTATTTGCACGTACCGTAAATCAATTTTTAAAAAGCATTTAAAGCATTCTTATTTCAAACATGGTAAATTTTAGGAACACAGCCCAGAAGTCATGCACAAAGCTAAAAATAACATGGTACAATTTTATTATTCCAGCCTTCCCCTACCTGGCAAATTCAAATGTATTGGGTCTCTAACTCCCATAATTGTGAGAAACCACAGCCAAGTGGAAATTGTGTAAGAGTGAATTTGCATTATTTTGCATCCACCAGCATAGCAATTTAAGTTTGATGGCATTTATAATTTCCATTTCTTGGGCTATTCTCTTATTCCATGAACACAAATATCTTCATCTTCATCTTCTAAGGCCAAATTAGTGCATCACTGTATAAAATACATCTGAAGCCATAATTCACTACCGGTATTTTTTGTTTGTTTATTATTTATTTATTTGCAGGATTTGTATGACTACCCAGTGATCCTAGATAGCTGACAACTATCTATAAAAACAGAACATCCTTTCCCACCAAGGGCTAGACTGATCCAACTACTTCCAATTACTTCCTGGCTCAACCCCCATCCTAGCCCAATGCTTGAGGGAAGAAACAGGTCTTCCCAGCCTTCTAGAAGACTAAAAGGCCTAGTTCTTCTGAGATTCCATCAATATCAATGTAGCCCCAAATATGTGAAAGCTATTCCGGATTCACATAGGTGATATAATATCCCAGGCAAGCATAGACAATTATTTAGTAGCTGAGAGGTTCATTCGAGGGAGGGAGGGAGGGAGGGAGGGAGGAGATGCATAATGCGTGCTTTGAGCAAAAGCCAGAATATTGGTTTATAACTGGCATTGACAGTTTGGGGTTTTTTAGTTTACACTTAAATATTCCATGTTTCCATCTCAAGAGGTCAGTTTTCAGCATAAAGTCAAGAGGTTCTGGAAACCACAAAAAATGGGGCTTGAGAGGCATTAGTTCCCTGCTGGCGATAAAGATTCTGTTTTATGTACAACTTTGTGAAGATTCAAGTTAACTTCTAGCAATACGAATGACACATATTAAAATTCTTCTGTATACACACTGTGGAAATAACCTTCTATGAGTATGAGAAAGGTTAAGCATGCCTTGAAGACAACAGAGGCATCAGACAATCCAACTACATACACATGATTAGAGGTGAGGGAGGAATGGTTGTGAACCAACATTTACTTATCAGCACTGCTGACCGAACACTAATTTCTACTCTGCCACCTTTCAAAAGGCGGATGCTTAACAATAGCCGTTTCTATTGAAGAAGCCAATTGCATAGTTCCCCTCATTCCTTTATCTTTCCTCAAAAGGAAAGTTCCAGCACAAATTCTGTGTTGGATAAGCATAAGCAGAATAGAAAACAATAGTGGGAACTGCGGCTATCACATATGTAGGGATCCAGCCTATAATAATGGTGCCATCGCAGAGTACCATTTGCTACCATTGGCAACTGGTTTGTATTTATGATGGATGCACTGTCCTGGGGTTATCTGATCACATTTATAATCTTCCCAACTGGCTTCCCACAAGCAAAGTCAATGGGGGAAACCAGATTCACTTAACAACCATGTAACTCACTTAAATACCGCATGAGTCACTTAACCACTGCATGATTCACTTAGCAACTTGCAGTGATTTGCTTTTAACAGCTGTGGCAAAAAAAATGACATATCATGGGACAGAACTTACTTAATACCTATACTAACTATTGAGCATTCACTTTGCTGAAACAACCATCAGTCTATATCCATTAGGTAAAGGTACATATGCGCTAGTCGTTCCTGATTCTAGGGGGCGGTGCTCCTCTCTGCTTCTAAGCCGAAGAGCCAGCACTGTCTGAAGACATCTCCATGGTCATGTGGCCGGCATGACTAAATGCACGGAACACTGTTACCTTCCCACCAAAGGTGGTCCATAATTTTCTACTTGCATTTTTTTTTTTTTTACGTGCTTTCGAACTGCTAGGTTGGCAGAAACTGGAACAAGTAACGGGAGTTGAGTCCATTATGCGGTGCTAGGAATTCGAACCACTGAATTGCTAACCTTCTGATCAACAAGTTCAGCGTCTTAGCCACTGAGCCACCATGTCCCTTTCTGTATCCATAGAAGCACCCAAACCCTACTAATACTGCTATTATACTTTTTTTAAATCACTTGTTGATACATTAAGCATTACTAGCCATAGGCAGTCCTCCACTTACAACTGTAATGGAATCTGCAGTTACAGTTGTAAAGGGGGTCATCTGACTGTGGGGGCATATGGGTGGGCAGCAACCATCGGAAATACAGAACTGGGTCATAAGTATCTCTGCGGAAGTCTATCATAATTTTGAAGGGTCACTAACTAACCAGTTGTAAGTCAAGGAGGACCTGTAATTAAACAAGAAGAATTGACTACCTCTTAGGAAGAAGTTCAACCATGCATTTATTAGTTGAAAAAGCACACACAAGTTCACTTTCCCACACAATTTAAATTCATTCCAAAATTCAAGCAGCAATATTATACATACTAAAGATGTTACTATGCAGATTCTTAATACTACATCTTCCCTATGGATATTTTTCTTGGTATGGCAAAATTTCTGGAAGACACCTGTTGGAGAAGACAACTACTGTAATACAAGTGTTCTGTGTAGATAATGAACTTTTAAGTATGCCATCTTCATTAATATTTTCTCAAAATGTGGCTGATGCATACTTTTATTAGTCTTTTCTATTGTAATCCATTCCCATTTGTGCATAATAAAGAATTAGTTACAGTCCTGAAAACAAAAAAAATGGAACTCATACAATATTTTATAATCACTCAAACTTTCTATTCAACCACATAGTTAACTTCTTCTGTCCTATCAGGAAAAGAAAAAAAAAACAACCTGAAATTTATTTCTCTGAAGGCAAAACAAGCAACAAAGGTAATAATTCTGGTATATAACAAGTCAAAAAAAAAGATACGGGAAGTTATTCCCATTTGTTTCATCAGGAACACCCTTTAACTGTGTTGCATTATTTACAAAGCTAACTATTATTAAAGTGATATAAAAACCACAGCTATTAAAAATAAAGATGAAAACATTTTTTTCTGGGAATCAGTCCAATTAATAAGCTTCAGGTACTCTTAAAAATCCCACAATTAAGCAGAAATACAGAACTGAAGGTAGGCAGGCAAATACAGGTAGTTCTCAACTTACAACGGTTCATTTAGCGACCATTCAAAGTTACAATGGCACTGAAAAAAAGTGATATATAATCATTTTTCAGTTACGACCTTTGTCGCATCCCCATGATCATGTTATCAAAATTCAGATGTTTAGCAGGGTTGCTTGGCTCCTACTTTACGATGATGGCTCTGCTGTAAGCTCATGCGATCCCCTTTTGCAACCTTTGGACAAGCAAAATCAATGGGGAAGCCAGATTCACTTAACAACCGGGTTACCAACTTATCAAGTGCAGTTAACAACCGTGGCAAGAAAGATCGTAAAATGGGGCAAAACTCACTTAACAACAGAATTTTTGGGCTCAATTGTGGTCGTAAGTTGAGGACTACCTTTAGGTGGCTTTGTTGGCCCTTCATTGTGAGTCCCTTAGTGGTCTTCCACAAGAGAAAAGCAGACAGACTAACCAAATCACATAATCACTTATATCAGTGATGGAAATTCTAAACTAAGAGCTCTACAAAAGAAATTGTTGCAGAGATTACTCGCTAAAGCTAAGGTGGGGTATAAAACTGCAAAATGGGTACCTCGTGACTGGTTTACTCTATCAACAGCTCTAGAAGCTGCTCACCTTTATTCAGAGTTCTGCAGGAAGAGGAGGAAAGAGCCTAATAGGGCAAAATGAAATGAAGACAAAAGAATGCAATGAATAACACGGAGGAAACAAAAATCCTTGCAATCAAATTTACCTGTATTTCAAAGGAAACAGACTTATTAATAATGCACAAGCACACAACTTTCAATACAGTATATATTACATTAGAGAGATGAAGCAACAGAAAAGAAAAGAAATACAAAAATGAAACAAAAGAGAGAAGAAAATTGAAGATGTGAAAGCTGGTAATCAACCATTAGATGAGTGGGAGGCTTAGAGAAATTCCAAAAGTAATCGTAGATCCTGAAGGCTAAATTTCAACCAAACTTGGTACACAGATGACTTAACCTCTGGAAACAAATACTCTGGGGGTAAGACACCCCTAACACGCTGGGGGGAGGGAGTTCTGTTAAGAGCCTTGTTGTGGCTTAAAACGGATTCTACTGTATTGCCTTAAAATGGCTTCTACTGTACAGCGCTGTGAAGTTGCCACGCGGCTTCACAGTACTCCACAAGGAAGTTCCCTCTGGTAAGAGGGGGGGAATCTAATATTAGAAATTGCAGCAATGTTCATGGAAGGAAGATTGGGATAAATAAATACACATGCAGCACCCGGTTATCAGCTAGTAACAAATAAAAATATGGATTTCATGGATTGGTTTATTAGAACACTAATTTTAACCACAGTTCCTCCAACACAATAACTTTAAGATGAGCCAGAATGTAACTCTCATTATGCCAGGCAATAGAGCCATTGATTTTTCTGATTCAACTTGCAATTGAACCCAAAATTTATGTTGCTAAGTGGCACATTTAAGTGAATTTTACCCCATTTGATGAGCTTTCTTGCCACAGTTGTTAAGTGAATCACTGCAATTGTTAAGTGAATCTGGCTTCCCCATTGACTGCTTGTCAGAAGGTCGCCAAAGGTTATCGCATGATCCCAGAACACTGCAGCTGTCATAAATATGAATTTTGATCACGTGACCACGGGGATAATCCTAACGGTCATGTGAAAATGGTGATAAGTCACTTTTTTCAGTGACATTATAACTTCGGTCACTAAATGAACTGTTGTAAGTTGAGGACTACCTGTAATCTCAT